CGATCTCATACCCTTGGCCAGAAAGGATCAAAATACTTGGCTAAATACATCTGTTTGCTGCATTTGGCTTTGCTGGATCTGCACCACAGAGTTTTCTAGAGGGGAAGCCTACAAGGCCGGTCACTACAAGACCACAGCTTGGGACTTACACTATTGTTTGTACTGAAACTGAAACTTTGGGCCACAAAACCATTTTGCAAAATACTGCACAAACACAAAACAAAAACCAGTTGTAGCCAGTTGTCCCCTCTTCCTGCTGTTTTCTCCCTATTCCTTCCAGTGTGCTTATGTATTTTCCTAAAGGAGATAGCAAAGAATTAATAACTGTATGAATTCTAGTTTGTATACCTTTCAGGGATAGCCACTTATCTGCCACAGCAGTGCAAAATACCCACAGTCCTCCAAATAAAGCATAGAACTATCTGTTTACATTATCTGTTCAATGCAAAGGGCAATAGTTTTACAGTGTGAGCTCAGGCTGTAAACTGTTATTTTTGGGTGGGGATGGGTGGAGGGAAGTTAGCAGTAGCTAGCAACAAGAAACATCTTTTTTTAAATATACATATATATACGTGTGTGTGTGTGTGTCTTTTTTAAGATATGTGTAAATTCTCTTCCGGTACAATGTAGAAAAACAAACAAACAAGATGTTATCACATGGCAAACAGAATACCACATTATGTGCAAAATACACAACAGAGTCAGCAGAGGGTTAGAAAGCAAATACTACCTTTTAATGAACATTTTGACATTTCTCATATTTTTTTTTTTTCTTGGGGAGGAGATTTTTAAAGCTATATCTCCACAGACTGACAATTTTTTCCTTTAGAATTCTTTTATTTTACATGTTTCTATGCAGTTTCTTTCTTATGAAGAAAGGCAATGACTGCCCAAATCTAAAGCCATCAACACACAGAACATAATTCAGCTCACTGGCTCTTTAAAAATTTCTGCAATATCATGCTTCTAAGGTTCATTTCATTCATTTCCACCATGACTGAGAACCTTTTTATCAGCTATAGATCTGATGCAGGAAAACATTACATCTCTCATTAAACCCAGCGCAGCAAAATCCTCGTTTGGCCACATCTCATAGGACCCTCTTTCAAAGAAGGCGATCATTTTATAGTGACAACTACAAAGTAGTAACGGTGAAAGTGATCTGCTAAACACACTGAAATACTAAAAAATTACATATTTCATTAACATATGTATTTCTGAAGTGGCCTTGCCTCTTCAATTTCCTACACTTACCTTGGTTGACTTGTCAGCACTATGTTCTCGTTTTCCTACATGGTTCCCCATGATGGATCACCAGAGCTTCAAATTCTGAAAAGATAAAACCAAAATGGCATTTTTGAAACCAATACATTTGTACTGATATACAAATTAAATTTTTCATCTGGCAGAGAACAAAGAGATAGTTCTCATACAATAAGCATTTTTACAATCCAAGGTAAAAATCTGTGAAAGATCCTGAGGGGAAAAAAAAAAAAAAAAAAAAAAAAAAAATCTGGTCTATTTTGCAAACCTAAGCAATACCAGAAAGCTTTCCTTCTTCAAAAAAAACAAACCCCAAACCCCCAAAAAACCAAGATAAACCCCTAAAGTGTTTATTGTGAAATTTGCACGTAAACCAAGACAAGATTAGAATTAGGTCAAAACCCTTTCTTTCGATATTTATAATACCAAAACAGTGTAATATGTATCAAATGATCTGTAACTACAAACTTCCATAAAAGATCAAGTAAGTTCTTTTGAATTCACATTTGCCATTATATAAACAGCAATTACTCGAAAAAAGTACCACATCAAACTGCTAATAATTTGCTGTGGAGGTGAGAATGGATATGTTGTTTACAGCCCACGCTTTCATGACAAGCACATAAGAAAGGAATGTCAACTCCTCTTTCTTTATATTTTCTGGCTCATCCTGTTGTATCTCAACTTTAACAAAGCTTATGTAGGTTAAACCACAACACTCAAATTTCAGCTTTTAGAGTACACTTGTGGTTATACTACATATTTCTTCTCATAGAAGCGTGTGTTTGCATCGGATCTTATACACAGCTGCTGCCTTCAGCCAATTTAAATGCAGCGCAAGGTGGCATTTAAAGTCCTGAAACTGAAAACTACACGCAAAAGAAGTTTCAAGTGGACTTTTTCCTCTCAGAATTATGAACTGAACTTTCAGTAATAAAGTTCAACGTCTGGTGCTGACAGTAACACTTCATTACTCTGCAATAAACAGAACAACACATCATAAAACCTTAGCATCAGAAATCCTGGCACAACGTTCTCGCTATCAGAGGGCTAAGTTATTTCATTAAGGATAATCTTATGAAAAGGCTTGGGACAAAAGGACAACCAGACCTTTGCTGTGATAGAAAACACATGAAGCAAAACAATAGGCTATTAACCAGCTACACTCCGTAGAACATACAAATATAGTTACCGATCCAGCAACAGGCACTGATTTGTGTACCAAAGGACTCTAAAGATAAAAAAACAACAACAACAAAAAAAAAAACCAAAACAAAAAACTTTGATTACTTCTGACTTCCCATCACAGAAATGTGGACTTTATCAAAAGCAATCTTGTCCTGTACCTCTACTGCGACTTTTGGAGTGACTGATAGATTTATTCTGTGCCCCCCCTGCCCATCCCGATGATAAATTTTCAAACTAATGATGGTCTGCCGTGCTCATTTGACTATTCACTGAATTTCTATTCACTCTAAAAATCAAAGTGCCACACATCACTCTGTGTAATTAAATAATTCCTCACTTCTAAGATCTTGCAAAGGAAAAACTGGAAACCATCCAAACTCAGTAAGCGTACTCAAGGTAGAGTTTATTGGCAATTTGGAAACAGATTTTTTTTTTTTTTGAACAGCGCTATCTATTGCATAAAAGATTACAAGAAAAAAAAACTATCCTTTCAAATTGTGAAATCAGCAAAACCAATTCACATATTTGTGAGATTATGAAAGTTTTCAAGGAAAAATACAAATAAATTCATATACACTGGGTTTCAGAGCTACATTACCTCAAACTGTCCTTTCCTCTACAAATTACGAGCAACAGCTCACGTCTCACATCACCTGCTTTGCAACATAAGGAAAACAGAGTGGAATACAAAACTATAGGAAACATCTACAGTGGGTAAAGGCATAATGTTCCGAGTATTACTGCTCCAGCCAATTACTGAAAGATTAACTATCCGACTTGATCTGTAATACACGTATGTTCAAATAAACAGATTATGGAGCCAATGTTAACACTTGCAAAGCAGAACTCTGATTCAGTGCCCTCCTGCCTCCCCTTTGTCTCCCTGGTGTCTTTGGAGAAACGCTCCAGAACAACCACCCTGTACCCATGAGACACTGAGCATCGCAGAGTCCCAGTCCTACAACGCCAAGGTAGAAAAAGATACCAGCTACAGACAAGCTATGCTGTGAAACTAAGCCGGAAAAAACATTTAAAAATCATTTGTTGGCCAGTAAAAAGAAAAGCAATAAAGACTTCCATGCTGCCACACTGCAGATACCTGAAAACAACAAGGCCAGTTTTTGGCTGAATTGTCTGCACAAAGCAAGCAAACAAAACTAAAACCAAGCAAACTGAGAAGCGTTGAAATGGCTGATCAATGCACTCCTGATTCCCGTGTGTGTAATT